TTCTGGTGCTGCACAGTAAGGTGACAGCAGTTGGCAATAATATACCCTATATTTCAAGACAGCTAGAAGGATGGACTTTGGACACCACAAAGAAATGACAAACATTTGAGGTGATGGATATGCTAATTAGCCTGATTGGATCATTACACGATGTACAGATGTACAATATTGAAAACCTACATTGTACCCTGTACATTTGTGTCATATTATATGTCAATTTCAACATATGTGGTGATTAAGCTGGTTTGTGCCAAGTCTCCTCTGACTCTCCTTTCTCCTATCTTTCTCTGGTGAGAAGAGGAAGTCATTGGTTTTTAGGGCCCAGAAGTAGAATAAAGAAAATATAGGAATAAAGAGCTTGAGGAAGTCTCCCAAGATTATAGGTAAAAGCAATGAGATAATTACAGGCTTGTGGTCCTTAAATACTTTAAATGTGACTTATTAAATGAAGCCTCCCTTCTCAGGGACAGGAGACTCTCAGCCTAGGTGTGTCCTGTGATAGACTTTTTCCTAGAGCTGTTTCCACCCTCTGCCCTGGTATCTGATTTTATGTTCTTCAAAATACTACTAGTTCACCGGAGTGACTTTAATTCTATTGACAGTGTTAATTCTCTGCCTGTAGAAACCAAAGGCCACTCCGGATAAGCTGATTTTTGTTTATTATCTGACAAGACTCAAGATTACTCTAAACCGATTTTGGTATGTCTCCCTTCAACCTAATCATATTGGACTTCTCCTCTCAGCTTAACCATCAGGGCTGAATGCCTCCTTGTATTATATTTATATCCGACATAAAAGTCATGCACAATTTAAAATTACCTACAGTAGTCTGCGGAAAGGTGCATGTAATCATGCAGGTTTAAACTATTAGTAAATTGAAAGGTTGCTGTGAGTGAACCCACGTGTACTTTAGCTCAAACTAGTTCCAAGTGCAAGCCAAAAGACCCATTTCTCTTCTACCAGATGATTAATTTGCTCGTGCCAGTGTTACTGATGTTCTGTGACCAGAATCATGTCAGGCAGGTCTCAGCAGGTCTGAATCAATACCGACCTAGGCTGTCACTGCGTCATAATTTTCACTGTCCCTTTCTATAACACTTAGCCATCAGATATCAGGCAAGACCTAAAGAATGAGAATAAACTTCCAGAGAGAGAGAGAAGGTCCATTTCACAGAATTATATTGGGAAAGAGTGGGACTAATGAGGATGTTCATCTGTACGTGTGTGTGTGTGTGTGTGTGTGTGTGTGTGTGTGTGTGTACTGTGCTAGACATATCTTTTTTGTGTTGGATAGTAGTAAAACACAGCCACTTGTGAAGAAGCCACAGCACACTCTATTCGGGTAGCTTCAGAGAGCTGGCTGTCCTGCTCAAGATGGTCTGAAGTAGAAACAAAATCAAGATACTCAATCACATCACAACAAATTAGCCACAGACACATGACAGCAGTCAACTCGGAGGCTATCCTGATACAGGCTATGGGATTCCCAGGCTCCAGGGGCTGCAAAGCAACCCTCTGTACTGATCCTAGGCCCCAGTATTAAGCAAGTCAGTCTTTCCCAAAATATTCTTCTGGTGCATCCTTATTGGTTACCATCTGTCTTATTTTTCTGGCACCTTTTTCGTCTTTTCTAAACTGGCCCTTCCTCTCCGAAGGTCTTTATGTCAACACAATTTGACCTTCCATCTCCTCAGGAGTTCAATAGAAGGAGACAATAGGTCTCCTAGTAGGGAACTTAAGGGCTGATCTCCTAATGGGCCACACATTCAAAGGGAACTGTCTGAGCAGGAAGCACATGGTCTTGCAATTAGAGCGCAGGGTTTTAAAACTGCATGAACACTTTTAATATATTCCCACTCCTCTGGGGACTGGCTTCCCCTCCTCCCACTTCAGAAAACACGTAATGGAACTTTGTGTTTCAATTTAACATCCCTTCAAAAACGGAAATCTTTCCTTTTAGAAGAAAAACAAACAGCAAAGAAGAAGAGGAAAGGCAAGAGAGAAACGAATCAGACCTTCTCCACAGCACACTGGAGAACTGGGAAACTGCGACCAAAGCAAGCTCTATAATAGTATAATGATCTTTAATGAGTGTCTTGGGAAACAATACAGCCCCAGCATAAAAGACAAAGGGCAAAACCCATCATGGCTCCGCTGACACTAATTCAAAATGATTTTCAGAACAACTAAAGAATGTAAGAGAAGTAATCTGATCCACCCATCTGACCTCACTTTGATTCCAGGGCCCTTCTCCTGCCATTTCTAATTGTCAGATCCTCTACGTTTCACATCTGCTCATATTTAATGAAAAGACCCCTCTCGCCACTGCTCTCTGAGTCAACTTGCTCTGTCAGACGGGCACCACCAAGCCTTGCCACCAGCAAGGGACACGCAAGGATGGCTGTGGAGATTTGCCAGTGGGCTTCGGCGGAGGGAGAGAGAGGTTTTTTTTTTTTCTTTTTTAATTGGAGAAGGATTTATGTGGTCACGTGAAGGAGCTCAAATTGGAATGGATTTTTCTAACTTATTATTAATGGTCAAAGGTGAGTGATTTCACACAGGGATGGGTGAAATTTGCTTTTGTTTGATGAAGTGATGACGGCGGGGGTGGGGGAGCGCGAGTGAAATAGAGACGGCCAACAGCCCTTAAGCCATCAATGCAAGCAAAGGCTTCAACACCTAGCTCCAAACGCCATGTTTCCCATGGTGGGGGAGGGGGTGGCTCTAGAAGCACAGGAAAGACAACGAAATCACGCACTGAATAGTTTTGAAAGTTTGGGACAATCCAACCCCACACTGTCTTTCTCCTGGCCTTCGACAATACGTGGATTAAACAGTAGAGCTGAAAAATCCCTCTAATTAGGGTCTCTCTCAGATAAAATAAAAGTTACATATACTGAGCACCATGGGCCTTGAACAGGGACACAGACAATTGTGATTGTTGTGGCTAGCTGGTGCCGAGACGTGACCCCAGAGCCCTAGCTCAGAACCATGGAGGCTCCCTCCCTCACCCATTGAATCTGTAGCCAAGGTTTTTGAACCTAGTGGTAACTTGAAGTTGTGCCTTAGGCAGAAGTGATTGGCAACTATACCCACCAGCACCACTCACAGAGATGTGGCCTGATGCCTGCCGCCACACCCCTCTTCTTCCCCAGCTCCTCTCTTTGAACTTGGTGTCCTGCCACATGTCATAGAAGAACAAGCTTTGTGTGCAGCTATGACCTGTCACCTGGGTCATGGCATATGTACTAGATAACATTTTTGCAGGGAAAGTAAAGAATAAGGACTCAGGCTATGGCATGTGTAGGAAGAATCTTAAAGACAACTTCCCTTCCAAGGTTTTAGGTCAATGTGGCAGTCCATATTCCCTCTCAATACAACCTCCATTAAGTATCACTTTTAAATCAGTCTTGTCCCTTGGCACTATTTTGGGGGAGCAGTGAATCGTGAGTCAGAGAGGATGATTCTCTGGTCCTAGATCAAACTTTTCCAAATGCTTCCAATGCAGCTTGACTGTACGTCAGGTGCCTCAGACTCAAACTGAGGGTTCAGACGTTAACATCAGGCACGGCTCACCATTCTGGGTATACAGTGGTGTTAGGGTTCCCTCACCCTGGAAGTTCATACTGATGACCATCACAGGAGTACACTGCGCTGGGGCCACCTTCAACTCTGGCCAGCGTAGGGGAATAAAATTCACTTTTCATGAAAATAAATGCTCAGGAGCTGAGAGCTCTTCCTCCTCCTGTGATAGGCGAGAACCAACTCCTGCTGGTGAAAGGTCAACAAGCTCTGGACACGTGGGAGGGGAGAGGACGAATGACAATATGATCACCAATAAATGTGGTGGCCCCTTAAAAAGAAGGGAACCGATAACAGGCAGAAAGAACAGTTGTCTCCTACTTCCTGTACTACCCAAAATGTGAAATCAAGGTCAAGGTCATATTCTAAGGGCATCCAAGTCCTTGAGCATAACACAACCTTTTCTGGCGGGGGATGAGGATGTATACCTCTGCATCACACACTGGAGCTGTCAGTAACATCACCTATGAAATTGATTCTTTCTGTGTTGGGAAAATAGCAAAGTCTGGGGTGAAGACAGGGATGACAGTGATCCAAGGAATTTGGCTCCTTAGTCTTACCGGTTACATCTGCAAGACTGACAAGTTCCTTAACAGCTCCAAACTCAGGAGCAACAAAGTCCTGAGCTATAGACTCAAAGCAACCACGGCAGTCCATGGTTTGTGTTTGGTGGTTTATACTCACAACTGCTACAAGATAACCTTAGTGAAATGGGAATCTATTGTTGGAAAAACTAAAGAAGAATAATCATTTGAATTAGTCATCCTTCTGAGGTGAAGCTCTAGAATCCACCAGCCTATGGGTGTTGGCATACCCAAAATTCTGTTTTCCAGAACATAGGACAAAATCTGTTATTCGAGGAATGAATTTCAGGTTAGAGAGGCACAGAAAGCAATATAAAGAGGCACTATTTTACACACATACATCTCCTTCTAAACTCTGTGTAGTTTGGAAATTAAACTCACTGAAAGCAATTTAATGCTCGATCTGGCTTTTTCTCTCTATACCCTTTTCCTTCCTCTTGTTTATCCAACCCAAATTATAGCCATTCCTAAAATTCCGAGATACATATTTTCACATATCTCAGCATTAGTATAGTATTTGATGTGCTGTTACTTTAATTTCCATGTTCATTTACTTAAGCTAGAGAGACAGGAAGAAAATCAGCCCACTGGTATTTCCCTCGTCTTGCACACTATTTCAAGAAGCACAGTAAGCAAACGAAATCAGAAGGGAGGCCCTCCTCAGCACGTATACAGAGACACAGGCAGGTGGATCATCATCTCACCACAGAAGAAATAACACTGGGAAGGGAACACCAGCCAGATGGACTCACAGACCACAGGGCACAACACGAGACAGGGAAGATCCCACAGACGGCACAAACACGGAACGGTACGTGTTGAGGTTAAACTTACAGGCAGGGAAACTGGTGGAGCAATCATTAACAGAGACAGAAGAAAGTGGGAAGGCTCTCTCAAGGGTGTCCACGTTACCACGCACACGGCCTGACATGCACGAGCAGTCACGCTCAGAACGTCCGCAATCAAAACAACATGCCCGTCTCATTCTCTTGTAGATGGACATCTTGGCTATAACCATGAGGTTGCGTGGGAGGAGAGGAAGAGCGGCAGTTAATGGCAAGGTCACACACAGCAAGGCAGCTGGAAGGGAGCTGAAGGGATTTAACACAGGTCTTAGTTCACATTAACAGTCTTGACCCAGGGGAAAAAAAATGCAGAGTGATTGCTGGTAACAGTTTGGTTGTACATCAAATGAAAAAAAGCAATGAAAATATAAATTGCCTGTATCGTCCCTCAAGGCTGTTGCCTATTATACCCTCCCACCCACTCCATAGAGTGGTGACCACAGGGAAAGGGCGTGACTGAATACACTCAGGTTCTTGGATGGGAAGAAGAACAAATTATACACAGTTTTTTTTTTTCTTTAAAAAATAACCAACCTTTTCCTCCTGGCACAATTAATACACAGAAGATAAAAGAGAAACAAAGCAACTCCATTAAATTAACTGCTTATTTGGGATAATAAATGGTTTCTGCAACAGGTGAACATATTTAATATGTAGTTTTCTAATTTCCATCCACTTTTGGGCATTAGGCAGAGCCTGGGACATGCTTCCATCAAATTAGATGTGAAACGATTACATGTTAATATAGAACTGTGGATGCCTTGGCTGAACTTCCCAGGAGTGAGTTTACATGATAGCTACAGGAATTTAAATTTACTCTTGACAGAACAAATAGCCAAATCTGTCCATATAAGAAATACAGCTACTCAAAGCTAACGCTGAGTATTTGACATTAAAGGAAGTTCACAAATAAGAAATCACCAAAAGCGTATGAGATGTTGATCTACTGGAATGCATTTAGCTGTTCGTGGATGTATTTTCTGCTTAAAGCTGCATCTGAAAATGGCATCTATCATTCTCTCCCTACCTACCAGGAATTCAGAGAACAAACTATTGGTTAATCAGAACTTTTTTTCCTTACATAGAAAATATTGGCCAAAGTAGATTAAAAATGACAAAACATGGAATAAGAAAATGGGTCCCTTGTGAAATATCTTACTGAAATTTGCATGACCCAGTGACAGCTCTTCTAAAACTAGTGTGCTAGGTTCTGTACTGCATGAGGACCCACCCCAAAGGCTGACCTACAAAGGTTGCTGCATAGTAATATCCAATGCCCTTCACCTTTACCTTTACCTTTCAAGCCAATTTGTATTTCAGTATAAGAGGAAATTTTTGTATCTCATTTTGATGCTATAGCAGGCAAACATGTTTGTCTGTGACCGGTCAGCTTCTCTTACAGACTAGGAGAAGAATTCATATTTAGTCTAAGTATCACAGCCTAACAGTGACCCTGAACCAAAGAGGTGTTATTCCCTGCACCCACAACTTCCATTTGGAAAGTCATTCTTCCCTCTTTTTTTTTTTTTCTTTGTAGAGAATGGTTACCCTCTTACTTTAAAATATGACTTGTGGTTTTGCCCTCTTTGAATGTTACAGTCACCAGGAAAGGGGTTTAAATCTCTCAAATGGGTCAAGTCCTGTTCTAAGACCTTTATGACTTGCCATACAGTATATTTGTCAAGCAAGGGGAACGTTATGATTGTGAAGAACAGGCACTGGGGAGATGAATGAGAGATCTCTTCAGCGGCATCTCCACCCCTGTAAACGTGGCTCACATTTTTAGTGACATGTTCTTTTAGCAGCCTGGGTAGTCTGTTGTTCAGATGATCATGCAGCCCCAGCCCTGTTCAATGCACAGTATATCATTCCTTTGAGCTTAGCTTTGACAAAAAAAATAAAAAATAAAAAATCCACTATAGCATTTGAGTCAAAGGAATTTAAAAGGCAATGGCATGACTGCCCATCTGTCCCCACAAAACAGAGCTGACTGAAGTCAAGAAAGCGGGGTGAAAGTCTTCAACGGAAGACATGAAAAGAAATTCATTTGAAATGCATCCGGATCTGGTATATGACTTGGAGATCCAATGTCTTGCTTTTTCTTTCTTAGTTCTTTCAGTGGAAATATTGATGTGTTATTTACCCACAGGGAAAAAAAACAAGGATGATTTTGGTTGTTGTTTCACTGTAGATAAATTGTTATGAAAAGAAAATTTTAATCAAATGCTGTAGCAGAAGAGAAGCCCATCAAACTCAGAAATGCTTTGCTTCTCATTAGCAACAGTCCCTGGTTTTCATTTTCATACTGCCATTTTGGGATCATGTACAATAATAGAGTCTGACACATTTATGGAGATAGAAAATGTGTATATATATATATATATGTGTGTATATATATATATATATATATATATATACACACACACACACATATATATGCACCATTTTTAAGAACAAGGGATGGGATAATGGAGATGGAGTAACTTTAGAAACTATTTTGTCAGAGGTAACCCCTCATAATGGATGATTTAAACCTCCTACTTCATAAGGGTTCAGGAGGTACAGTAACACCAAACCAAACCAGTGGCTCTCAGGGACTGTTTGCAATTATTATTGTTGGTTGTTCTAAAGACCATGCACTGTTGTATACAATTTCATATTGTTAGCATGCAGAACAGGCTGAAACTGGTCATCGAAGCAGCAAAAAACCATTTGCTATAACATTAACTGTTAATTATAATCAGTCACATTCCAAGCAGCATATGCATAAAAAAAGAAAACATGCTATTACACGTCATTCCTTCCCAGCTGTTTTTTTTTTTTTTACACTCACACCAAATGCAAAATAGAAATCTCAAAAAACAAACAAGCACCACCACAAAAGAACCCAGCAAGAAGGATTAACGAGAGGCTCAAAGACAAGACAGAAACAGTTAAAAAGGACTGAGCCCGACATGTTGACAAACCTTCACGAACCACAATGTCTCTAGACCAAGGGCCACCAACTGGGAGAGTGGCTCCTTTCCTCTACTTCTTGAACAGTCCATTTTCCTTGACCTCCTGCCACGTGTCTTCACCTGTGAAGTCTGGATCCACTTTCCTATAAGGTAGGGCCCATTCTGACATTCCATTTTGTGAAGCGATCCAGCAGGCTTGAAGGGTGTACGTACCAGCCAGGAAGAGATTTCCTCTGGGCTGTTATTCAAGTCAGGGACAAGCTCTTTAACTAAAAACTGATGAGGGTCTGTTTCATTGCTAGTAGATGTTCCAGAAGATATGCACCCTCCTTGTGCAAAATTACACTCTCAAGTTGTAAAGTAAATTTATACCAAAATTCTGTTGTGGATCTCCTAATTTGAAAATTACCTCCCCATCATCTCCCTCAACTCTCTCTGGCTTCTTAATCTTTCAGTTCTGTTTTGTCAATCATGAATATTCAGAACCAACAGTATTTTATTTCCATTTCTCAGTGGTTGCTTCCTCTTCTACAGCCAATTTGGGCTAGAAAGTTACTTTCAGATATCAAAGAGCAGTAGACTCGCAAGGTTAGAATTCAAGGAGCAAGTTAAAACAATTTCAGTATGTATTTAAAACAGAAGTAAGTTTCTTATCTACCTCCTGCCTGCACAAAGTTTCCTCTCTCCTTTGGTGTGTGTTGAGGTTCTTTCTTAGGTAGTCACCCTTGATCTCTTCCCAAATCCCAATCCTCAGAGGCACAGTTTTCCCAGGGAGCTCAATGGCATTCCAAGTGGAACTATGAGGACATCTAGTGGATCAGTGGGGAAGAGCAGCTAGTTAACAGTGAACCTGAACATTGCTGGCCTTTCTTTCAAAGAAGCAGAAAGAAGGCCCTGCTGTCTCTAAGAATTGAAATGTTTTCAGTGTCATTTCAATTCAGTGGCTGCTCCGATCCATGCCAGATGTTCAGGGGGCAGTGGAGACAAAAGGATAAAGGGTTCTAGGAGATGATCCTAGGATGGTCAAAAGGGGAAGCTTGCAAGCACATTCATTGACTCTGCAACTCGGCTGGCTGGGTCTCCACAAGACCCTGCTGCAGCTTCCTGAGAAAGGGCGCCGACAAGAGTGTGTCTCTGGCAGGTGTAAATACTGGAGCTACTTGTCATTCCATCTTAGGGCTCTTGAAACTTTATGCTCAATGAATGGCCCCATAGGCCAACTTAACTCAGGGAAAGCAGAAATATAAGCCTCCAGAGACTCCGTTTTCTCTTCGGTGCACATCATAAGATTCTTGTTTTTGGACCTGTGCCATAGATTCAGAGAGGTTATGTGGTTGCCAAGAATTAGATCCTGGGTCTCACCTTTCCTCCAAAGAACTCTGTTTGAGCAGATTCATAATTTGAGAGAAAGCTTTTATATGCTTTTCCTCATCCCAATAAAGTGGATATTCCCCCACTATTTCCAATATATGACTTCCTAGTAGTATTTATAGAGACAAAATAGAAGTATTTCCCTAATGGACATCATCAAAGCTATCTGTTTACGCTTGAGTTTTTAAAATGGAAAGATTTCTCAGACACGGGCTTGGACAACTTTTCCTGTCTTTTCAAAAGTCGTAATTATGAAAACTGAAACCTGCTGCAGATGTAGTAGAATTAACTGCTCTTGCTCTGAGACAGACCAACAATCGACTGTCGAAGCAGGATTCTCTGCTAGTTAGCCCTTCTGAGCCAAGCCTGGAATGGAAGGGAGAGTTGGATAGCCTCCTCTTCTCAGCACCATCTGCCTCCTGCTTCAGCAACCAAATTGTCAGCCAATTTGCAATTGCAGCATCTTAATTTCCAGGGTGGACTGGAAGAGGGCAGGAAAAGCCACCCTGGACAGAGAGGCTCAGGTGGAGTTTTTCAACTGCTAGGGAGGTGTGATATTTTAGCTTTCAAATGGAGCAGATTCAAAGGAAGACTGGTATGCAAGAAAAAATAATTTGCCATTACATTAATACTTTCCAGAACCTAACCTCACTTTTAAAATCAGTCCAGTGAAGGGAGTGTTACTTCCAAGTATGAACCCTTCAAGTGTTCGACAGAACCTAAAATTATAAGCAAAAGCATCCATGGGAGAAAAGTCCACAGAGGCTTAAATTTGAGGTGCACTCTTTGACGTGGCACTGAGAATCACAGAACGTTCCTTCAAGGGCTTTCAATGAGGAATAATGTCTTCACTTAACAAAATTCCTCTCATGACCTTCTGAAGAATTAAAAAGGTCTTCCAGGTGGTTTTCTAAGAACAGGAAGAGTGAACAAACAAATTTAGTTAATGTCAGAGCATACGAAGCTCATTGATTCAGTGGTCAGCAGTGACACTGTAGCTGGAAAAGGTAGAAGCATTTGGCACTAGAGTTGTTTGTTGAATGACATCACATTTTCCTCCAATTCCAAAGGATGTAAGGTCTGTAGGTATGAAAGTATCTCATGTCCTCAACATCCTGAAAAGCAGTCTACTGATGAAGGGAGCCACAGACTCAGTATTGGCAGAATTATGCATTGAGTTGAAGAAAGTGATAGCTTCGGTGATTGGATGAACCCAGTGCTACTACACGGAGCTATGGCCCCGCCCTTTTGCATTTTTTATTTACATTGAGTATTTCATTGGCTCCGAATACTGAAGGCTAGCCAAGATCAGATGATCCACTTGCTTCTTCTGCTTCAAAGGAATCTGAGGGAGCCGAGCACTGACCCATCTCCTTTTGATTTCGGTGGAATCTCATGTTTATGAATACAGAACCAATGCTGATGGCCGATGCCACTGAAAGCCACACTGCTGTAAGCCACACACTGAAATACTGGCCTTACAAGTTCTTCCCCAAGTGCTCCTCTGCTTGGAGGAGACGGGTTCCTATGCCTTAAGTAAGTCAGAGGCCCCGACTTGTTCAGACTCATACACAGCTCACCAGTGAAATGAAACCTCCTTAGTCATCTTTTCTTCCTTAAACAAGGAAACAGATCTTCCAAGATGTCTCACTACACTCGCAGATGAACCGGGGTAGGTTTTATTTTAAAGCAAAGGCACTTCATAGGCTACGGGAAATAATTGCTACTGTGGAAATATTTGTGTCCAGGAAGGCAGTGTAGATGTCTACAGTCCCAAAGGTGGTATGCAATGGATTTTCTAACATGCACCTTTCTCATATAGAGAGGCACATATACTATAATAAATATATCCTTTTTCTATGGGTTATCTCTATGCTTATATATAAAAATATACATTTTTACATATAATGTGCTGCTGCATATCATATATATATCACAACACATGAATATATATGTACCCTATGTGTTTCCTTTAGGGGACAAATTCAAGCTCTATAACAGGGGAGACCAGGAATAATTTATCAAAGGCAAGCATGACAATGATCCCCAATGGACAAGCCATCTAGAGCGATAGTGGTGATTTCTCCAGCCTAATCAGTGTCCCTTAAACGTACTGAGATGAGGCCTTCAAGAGAAACACACTTTTGTCAAGGTCTTATTTTCAAATGGAAAAATAAGACAGCGGTCAGAAGCTGGCCAGGGGCTGGGCATGGGTAGATGCATGGAGAATGGGGTTCAGTTCTCTTCAGGTCCGGGTTACTCTGCAGACTGTGTTGGGCATGAGCAAATCGGGGCATGATTTTCACTGCTACATGCAACATGAATACCAAAAGGAAAATTAAAAGCTGTACGGAAAATAAAAGAAGTATCTCATCTAGAGAAGACAGGGGAACTAGACTCTGGGCTGTTAGGAACCCGTTTTACTCACAATAGATCACTACCAGTGTGCAGTTAAAATAGAGTAGGGGCCGTATTCCAAGGCAGCAAAGAGAAAAAAAATAAATCAAAGATATATCAATGATTAGAAGTCAAAGGAAATGTCTTCAAACACATCAATCTAGACATGACTTGTCCCTGAGGAGTCTACCCCTTGGCAAACTTTCAGAGGCTGGGAGGGAAAATGTAAATCATTAGATCAGGTTTGTTATACAGGAAAAGAAAAATGGATAAATGGTAGACTCTCAGAGCTTGAGACTGAGGCCAGACAGTTGAACTGAACTCGCTTCCTGGATGGAGTGCTATGAAGAAATGGAAAGAAATGCAAAAGTTAAACTGCACTACCACAGAATTTTCCAGAAAAGGATGTTCACCCTCCACATTTCTCTGGAGAACATGACACCAGACATTGAAAGTTATTGAATGAAAGGGGATGGGGAGGAAGGGGCAGGGTTGAAAGGGAAAGAGCTAGGCTAGGAGATCAGGGTTAGGAATCTGTGGATAAGGCCCAAGGACTGTCATGAGTTCTGCCTTTATGGAGATATACCATTCTAGGGTGAATTAGCAATACCTGGGCTAACAGGTTAGACAAATGACTAAGAGGGTCAACCACCTTTTGTAGCTTGGACAGAGAACCAAGCCATCATGGGAACAAACATATCTCTATCTAAGGAAAGCTTTCCAATCAAAACTTATCTTCTCCAATCTCCTCCTTTACCTTGCCTACATGGGGAAGTGAATACTCAATACTTCATTTTATTCTAACTACCCCTCCTCCTGTATACCTGCATCCAACCCTCTGGGCTATGGCTTTTTAATTAAGAAGCATAACATCTGGGCAGTTCTAATTGTTATCAGACATTAGCCTCATGGCTGAGAGCTTTGTCACACTGGTGTGGCCTGGTAAAAGCCATCCTTTTGCAGCAGCTGTGCTGGGCATGATGGGAAATCAGATGCTTCACTGGCTCAACCAACTTTAAGGACAATGAAGAGAATAGTTATTCTAAAGAATGATGTGCCTCGTCTCCTGGGTTTGTCCATTTGTTTGTCTGGAATCAAGATGGTAAGTATACCCAGAAGGTCAAAACCTTTCCTGTAAGGGCTTTAAAAATGGCCTAATGGGATCCACGATGGTGTCTCACAAGAGACATTCTAGTTTAAAGTGAGAGTCAGAAAGGGTTTTCTTCATCCTTCTGCTTCTGCACTTCCTTCTTGAGTCTGTTCTCTATGCAAATACCAAGGAGAATGGTTGATGTCATTTCCTTGCTTGAAATATTCTATTGGCTTCCTATGTAGCACCCAGTCTTGGCTTCTTACCATCACCACCCTCTTTCATCTCATCTCATGTCCCCCTTTGATGCCATCAACCCTTCTTGCCCTTCCTTCAAACACTATACAGATTCCTCTCTTTGGTCTTTTCTTAGCTCTTCTCCCTACCTAGACTGGGTATCAGCTTCAACATCATTGCCCAATGGAGTAATTTCTGACCTTCCAAGCTTTGCTCTCTCTGAATGTATTCTATTGCTTACGTAATGAAAGCTTGCCTTCATTCACTAGAATGAAGTTTTCAGGAGTACAGTGATCACTTCACTCACCCCTCCATCGCTGGCACCATGAATAGCACCTTGCAAAGAACGGGCACTCCAAAAATACATGAATGGCTGCTCAATTAGTAAACCACATCTGTGGTTTCCTGGAGATGGGAAAGGGACCATGTATGTTGAGTCACTGGTGAAGGACAGGAGAAAATAGGGAGCTCAAGTGGGTGTAGGAGGCAGCCCAAGAGGTTTCTACAGAAAGCTTTCTAGCCCAAGAGTCACTGATGGGTACTTCCCCAAGAGACAGAGTAACCTCTTTGGGCTCTGGCAATGCTATCTTTATCGCTTACTGGATTTGACCATGCCCTGTTAGCATGCAGTGACAAAGGTCCTTGCTTTAGTTGGCACATGCCAGCAGTGGTGTTGTGTCTGGATTCTCCTTGTGAAAAGTGCTTTATGGGTAATTTTTCATAACTGTGCTCCTACTCACCAGATGCAAACCCACTCACTTTTCCCTTCCCTTCTGCAAAAAAGGTGAGGGAACTCAGGGCATCCGGAGGGGCCTTAGGGGACCTGAACTCCTGTATGTGGGCTGCATGACTCTTGGCCATCTCATCTTCTCACTAACTTGGAAACTTCATTGTCTCCTTTTGGAAAATAGGATTCATAACACCCACTGCTGATTACCAGAGTTACAATGAGGATCAAATCCACCATCACAAGGAGCTTTTAAAACACCAAATCACCCCAAGAAGGAAGAAGTCCCTATTTTTGTTTTATCTGGGCTTGAGAACAATCTGTATCAGGCATAATCTCTGCAAAAGGCCTGGCTTTTCCCAGGCAAAGATCACCTTAGATCCTGGTATCTACGGAGCTCACAAGCCAGTGTTCCTGACACTCCGCTGAGGCCCATGGGCACGAAGGTTTAGAGGAGGCTTGAGCTTGGCCATGCGAGAAATTACTGAGCCCGATCCAATCCAGCCCAGAGAGAAATGTGCCTGAGGTTGGTCTTTGGGGCATTCATGACTGAAGCCCATGGCAAGGACCATATTCTTTTCTTGGAGTCATCTCAGGGAGTCATAACGAAAAACTCTGATCTTTGGCACTAAAGCTTATAGGAATCCCAAATGGAAAGAGGGTCAATCCCATTTTGGAGACTGGGTCTCCAGACTCAGTTTCCCTCTCAGCCTTATCACAACCATCTTCAGACTTAGTGACCTCCTGTCCACTGGAAATCACCATATAAAACCACTTCCTCCTCTATGGCATTAGATGTTCTCTTTTTTGTACAGCATGCCTGGTTATACCAGACTGCACACAGGAGGAAGAAGGAGGACAGGTCCTAGGTTTCCTCCTAGGTGCTAATGGTGATGATTTTTCATCCTCTGCTCTAACAAAGCCAGTGTAGTATTTATTTCATGTCTCTTTAAACTGCTGGATGAAACATAAAGATATGCAAGAAAACTCTTGTTGTTTAATGTTTCTCTAATAGGAAGAGGGGAAGGGAAAGGAATGTGGGGACTAGGAAGGGGAGGGGAAAGGGAGGGGGGAAAGAAACAGTACTTACGCCGTTTGCAGCCGCATTTTTTAATTCTTTTGGGATCTGTGATGTCATCATGACAGGCCTTGCAGTAAAAAAATGCCCTGGAGAAAGAGAATGGAAAAACTGACACGTTTCATAATCCACCCAATGTGAAATGAGTACCACATTTCCTCCGCGGTGGTGCCAAATTAATGAAACATGCCAGGACTAATTTCCTTTCATCTTTTGAAAAGTTTAGACGTTTGCAGACGGAAATGTTTGTTGCAAGACCATTTATTTCAAACACAAGATTCTGTGATTTGAGTTAGTGCTTCTTTTTATAAACTCCCATTTGCAAAAAAAGAAAAAAAAAAGTGGAGAGAAAGGTTGCTGATGTGACACAGTAAGTCTGCTTGCCCATCTTTCATTGCTGAGAACAGAGGTGTATACTGGCAGCTGAGAGCACAGAGAGTCAGCCCTGAGCCTTTGGGAACATAGGGGGAGTTAAACACAACTCTAAAGGCCCCACAATCTAGTAAAATAAATATTTTTAAAATACGATATTTCTCAGTCAAGTGCAAATATTAACCTTGTCGCCTTGAAAGCACCTCTCCTTGTTAGTCAAATTGAGAGGCAGCTGAGGAGGAGTGGGGAGAGGGAAAAATAAAAGCAATGAGCCCAGAGTTCCTCTGTCAGACCTGATCTGGTACTAGCAAGACCCAGCGCCATGATTTCCAGCCCTGAGAACATGTACCGGTAAGGTTTGCTTCTCAAATAGTATCTGTGTGAAATGATCTCGCCCAAATGTAAACTAATGTAAGTGTTCTGAGCACAGGTAAGGTAGTCTAGGCTAATCAATGATGTTCGGTGGGTTAGGGTGTTCAATGCAATGTTGAGTTACAATATTTCTTTTTTTTTTAACTTTTTTTTTTTTTTTTTTTTTTTTTTTTAGTTTTTCTCCGGTACCAGGAACCGAACTCATGACCTTGCACTTGCCAAGCAGGTGCTTTTGCCGCTGAGCTAAATCCCAGCCCCTGAGTTACAATATTTCTAACTTAGATGGGTTTATTGGGATGCAGCCCCAGCATCATTAAAGATGCATCTGTACTGGTAGGTAATAAAAGTCACTGCAACAACCTTACAACCTTTTCAATCCAGAAACTAACAAAATCTCTGGCTTACCACCTCTACCATTCCCAACAAGAAATCGAATGCCAGGGGGTAAACATGGACTTTTCTTGATTGGAGCTAAAGAAATAAACATCATTCTTGATCACTTGATTCCTAGGTTCTATTTTATGCCTTTCACAAGCTTTACATCTATGACCCACATGGGTTGGAAACCATTGTTAATATTTTTGGATCTCAAAGAGATTGTGGAGATCTTGCAACCAACTCTATGGGACCCAATGTCCCCAACTATAAATTGAGGAGGTTGTCATGTCCTCTCTAAAGTCATCTCTTGATGGAGCTTGGCTGGTCCTGGGCCTTCTATATCTAAGTCTAATGTTCTTTTTACCTGAGCAGCTCTTCTACCATTTCTTTAACTGCCAGCTGTCATCTACATTGCAAGAAAAGTAAAGTGGTGACTATTTGCATTGTGTGGCACTGTGGTGAGGAACCTGATGGATGGTGATCTGCCTTGACACATGCAGGACAGGCCAAGAGATAGGAAGGACAGGGCAAGAGAAAGCATCCCCGTTGGGATGAGTAACTCTGCACCGACTTCCTCTACCCATTTTCTCAACGTATTTGATGCTCCTACAGCAAATAACAAAATGATAGCAATGGTAATAGCTAGAATTTATAGGGCATAGGCTACAAGCCAGGTGCAATTCTAAACATTTCATAAGCTTAAGCATTAGCATAATCGATCCTCAAATAACCTTTTGAAGGAAAGGTAATTGTTATTTCTGTTTTACAGATAAGGAAACCGAAGCCTACAGAGATTAAGTGACCTGCCCATTGCCTCATAGCTGAGTGGCAGGACCAGAGTTCAAATCCACAGAGCCTGATGCAAGATCCCAGTGTCTTAAGCATACCCATGTTCAAAGAGCTGATGCATAACGACAAGTCTGAATAGACTGTTGAAAAGAAAAAGTGTGATTACTTCATGAATCAAGGCCGGATTCTCTTTTAAAATTTAATTGTTATATTTAGTTGACAAAAATTTCATAATTTGTGATGTCCGACATGATGATTTTGAAATATGTAAACATTGTGGGGGTAATTAACATATGCATTAACATATGCAAGCTAATTAACATATGCATTATATCACATATTTACCATTTTTTGTGAAGAAAACACTTAAAATCTACTGTTTTTGAGGATTTTCAAATATATAATACATTGTTGTTCACTGTAATCTCCAGGATGGGCAATGGCTCTCTTAAATTATTCCTCCTATTTAACTGGAATTTTGTATTCATTGACCAAAATCTCCCCTGTGTCTCCCACCCCTAGCCCAAATCTTGGTAACCAGCACTCTGCTTTCTGCTTGTATGGGCTTGGTTTTCTAGGTTCCACATATAAATGGGGTTGTGCAGCTTTTGTCTTTCTGTCTTTTCTGCCTTCTTCCATTTAACATGAGGTTTTCCAGGGTCAGACATGTCAGGCGATGAGTGAAATGAGATAACTGCAAGGCATGCCTGTGGTGACCTCAAGTCACATCGCCCAACTGGACGAGCATGATGCTTTCTGGGTCTCCTTGTCCTCTGGCTTCTTTAGGGTTTGGCCAATGGCGGAAGCCAGCAGGAGACTGGCATGTGGGAAGAGATGAGCTCCTTCCTTGCCAGGTCATAGAATAGTAATGGCAACATTTCTCTACTGAAGGATTAAAATTCTATAGGGCAGCCAAAAGCTGAGACTCCCTCTCTCCAGCTTCAGGCAGCCCTCCTTCCCTGGTCCTCAATTCTCGGGCTGAAATGTCCCTCTCTGTGGCTGCTTCTGCGGTGCTTTGTCAGCTCTTGTTGGTTTTTCTTAACTTACTACACGCAGCTTTATAGAACTCTCCTCCTTGATCCTTGAAGTGCATCATCTATTTCTTGCCAGGACCTCCACTGCTACAGCAGCATCTGCAGCACCCACATTTACATTTCCAGCCCTCACCTTTGCCCAGAACTCCATGCTTTTAGATCCACCCACCTTTATGATAACTCCACGTATATGTCCCATGCATATCTCCTATTTACCACAACTCCAGCAGAAGTCCTTCTTTCCTACCACTGCACACACTTGTTTCTTCTCTAGCTTTCCCATCTCAGTGAGATGGCGCCATCATCCACCCACTCGCTTGAGCCCCTTAAGCATCATCCTTAATCCCTCTTTCCTTCCCTCCTTTTTTCTATCCCATTCATCAGTGGATCCTGAAGATCTTCCAAGTACATTCTGAATGAGACCCACAGTCCTCTGTCTCCACAAGCTGCTAGCATCTCTCACCTAAGCTATGTCATAGTCTATGGGTCTCTTACCTCTTCTTCTGTTCCACTACCTCCGTTACCTTCCATTCTGTGCAATGTGAGTAGAATAACCTTATGATCATATAAATCAGATCACATCTCCACAGCTCAAAGAGCTGGCTTTCATAACAAATCCAGCCTCTTTCTAACAATGTTAGAAGTATCAACCTCTGCCTTTCTCTAGTCTCATCTCATACCACCCCTCTCCCTCACCTACTCTCAGGGCCACTGGTCCCCATTTGGATTCCTCAGACACAATGGACTTCTTCACATTGTACCTCTTCCTCCTGCCTGATCTTTGTGTGATGAATCCTTACCTCATTTCTGTCTCTGCCCTGGTGCCACCCCCTCAGAGCAGGACTCACTCATACTGAGCCCAAATCAGTGATTCAGTCGCCTTCTTTCTTTCACCATAAATTTTAAAAACCTGTAATTGGCCCTTCCCTAGACCCTGAGCCTCAGGAGAGCAGGGCTTTCTCTGTATTGTTTCCCTGACATGTAATATAGAGCCTGCTCAACACTAACTGATTTTTGAGGAATGGATGAATGAGTATGAGAATGTTTCCCAGTACTGGGCCTGCTAATTTTTCAGGAGAAACCAGTAATAAGGATTTTCATATAAAAGCAGATGACTCATTGCAACTTGACAACTAATTTATTTTTAAATTGTGATTCCTAAAGAGAATCACATCTGCACATCAAATAGAGCCAATGAACCCATTAGACTATGTTTCAAGGTTACTTTAAAAGGAAAATATTTAGTGGCAAAAGTAAAGGACAAGTGCCCAAATGCCCATCCAAAAGTGACATTCTGAAGACTGAAACTGGATGGTTTCACTACCCCTCTTTCTCTAAAGGCCCTGCATCTGAAAGTTTCTATGAGCTACAAGAACTTTTGTTGGTTTTTTTTTTCTTTTTGGCATTGTACGGTGAAAATTCAATACTAGATCATCATCATCTACTTCTCCATTTTTACAGAACTTGTTTAGCTTCATTCAAATCTCCTATGTCCTTTCTGTGGCTTTCTGCAGTCTTCATCTATTTGAAATCCCCTAACTGACAGCATTTGCTCTGACACATCACACACCACTGAAAATTACAGGGTGGTGTTGTAGCTGATTGTGTCAGCATGTATTTGTGAATACCATAAAGCACTGAAATGAGACAGATTGCACTCCCTAATGTAGGAGGTAATTTGTTTTCTGGACTGCCTGGTATTTTTGACATTCATTAGCGAGCAATGCAGTAGGAAATGGAATTACACAAATGGAAGCCTCACGTGATGGTTGGTATCTGGGAGGTGCATGTCACGGATGGGGCCACTGAGCTCCCAGCCTCCCAGGCCTGATGTGAGATACTGCTTCCAGCTTTTGTGTCCCACATCTGGACCAGAACACAGCCTTCTTTTCCAGATGCTCTAGAGAATGGGTTAGTCCCATTGGCCTCCCTTTCCCTACTTACATAAATTTCATTCTCCAAATACTGCTGAAGAGTAACAAGATTCAACCAACACGGTCTTTCCCACAACTACATAGTGTCATTCCTTCCCCAATTTGCAGAATTAAATGTAAGTTATTAGAAAGTTGTTTAAAGAAATTTTATGCACCTCTACCCTATATGTTCTTTTTCCTGAGAATTTCTTTAACTAGTCTGGGTTATTTGTTAGAGTGGGTGAGAAGAAAGAAACTCACAAGCATGCATTGTCAAATATCCTTGTTCTATATACAGAACGTTAATGGGGTTTGACGTTCAGGGTTAGCTTATCCCTTGGCATAAAGCTAAAAGAGCATAGCCTCTAGAGCCTGACCACTTGAATTTAAATTCTGGCTTTATTTCTAGCAGGACGACTTTGGGCAAGCAATCTGTGCCTCAGTTTCCTCAGATGCAAAGTGGAAAAGCCTAATGCGACCTAGTACAAGGTTTGGATGAGTTCATAAACACAAAGAAGCTAGTTAGCACCCAGCAGAGTGCTAGCAAACAGCAAGCCCTCCAAGGGGCAATAGCATTATCACATTTGGTAGAAAGAGACGGGGCTAGAAAAAGATAGACAAGTTCCAGTCTGGGCTCTGCCATTTGTTTAACTGCCCATTGGTCTTGAACAAAGCATTTATCTCAATTTTACAGATGAGAAAACCAAAGCCCTGAGTGTTTTCCAAGATTTTACCTTCTAGGACTGTCTTGAGGAGTAGCAATAGAATGTAGCACACCTCGCACAAGCCTGGATTTGAGTAGGAACCATTAAATGAAGACAGTAGGCTTCCACAAACAACTACAGACCTCTGCAAACAATAGTGTAATATCACTGTTGAGCCAGGCGCCCTCTCTGGCCATTGGCATCACATTTTCTACCAGTAAATTTTTCTGAGTTGCTAGAATAGAATGAAACATAACAATGTTCCATGTCGTACAAAAGTCCTGTGATTCCCTAGGCTCCTTAAATGGGTAGAAGGACACTAAGAAAAATGTCATGAAATGCTGGGGCCTATGAAATCCTGGGCTGTCCTTACAGAGGCTTCACAATTGAAGCCAACAATTTCAGCCACTTATCTAGAAAGTCACAGATAAAATATGGCCCATTTAATGTTCATCTGAAATTAATCCAAACTGTTCGAAATTTCCTTTGGCAGTTAGAGTAAAAAAACTGATCACTGTCAAGGAAGTCTGTCCAGGTAATACTGAGAGCTTTAGCCAAGTAGCCAGTGCACCCTTCGGTAGCTCAGCTAGCAGAGTGGAGGACTGCAGACAAGTAGCCAGTTGTACTGTTGAGTTGGTCTGGGTCAGGAACAGTAAGGATGAACTAAAACAGTCACTGCAGCTCTCTGGGCCTCAGTTTCCTCCCTTGTAGGATGAAGGAGTAGGTAATGAGGCTTCCTCATTCTAAACTTTTATTATTCTAATTCAAAGGTAAGAAACTATGAGAAAGGAGTCTGGAGGAGCATTTAAAAGCACACTCTCTCTCCCCTAAACTTTTGCACCATTTGTGCCCATAGATAAGGTAAGCAGTTGTAAGGCGACAGCCCTGTACATCTGGAAGATGCCCGTGCAGTAGATTAATATGTCTATGGCTGGGCCAGAAACAAAAGCAGATGAAAACAAACTCTTACCTTTTAACTTCTTTGGCATCACTTGCGATGAAAAATCCTAAAGTACCTTCTTGGATCTTAAGATGGTTTCCAGGATTAATTAATATACTGCTCAGTGAACAAAAAACAAACAAAGAAGACACATGTGTGAGGTCATGTTCTCAATAAACTTTTGAAGGCAACACCATACAGTTGTTTTTATAGGGGCCCCACTAGTCTAATGCTTTCCCCAAAGATTTCTTCTAAAGCCCGGTATTCTCTGGCCCACACATTTAGTTGGATAATGCCACTATTACCCTCTACTAGTTCATTCTCATGTTGGCACACTCCCAGTTAAAGAAATCAAAGTAAATCTCAGTTTTAGGGCTGGTTCTCATAAACAGACCCATGCAGCTGCCATTATGGGCATCTGACTTAGTGTAAACTTCCTCATAATGTGTCTGTTTTCAGATTTAAGACAACTAGGAATGGTCAACACTGCAACATTATTAGTCTAATGAAGCTCTTGCTCCACCAGTTTTCCCTTGATGACAGAGCATTAATGGGACCCCTATATGTATACAGAAGCAAACATATATACATACTACATATTACTCTGGGGAATGGTACAAGACACCCATGCAAGAAGCAAACTGAACATGTTTATAACATTGAAAAGAACACGGAAGTAGATTCCATGTATAGCCCACATAGGAGGAACTGGGTCTATCCAAGCAGTGGAAGAGAAAGCATTTGGATATTCTTAATGATTCCAGCCTGCTGGTTATGAAAATGTATGGGGTGTCTGAATAGTATGCACGTCCTAACTGAGACAAACTGTAGTGAGAAAACAGAAATTAGCTCCCCAAAATTCCTCCCTACAGGGAAGTATGAACCTAAATAAACACTGTCCTACTTAAAAGTGGTATAAATAGATTAGCTGACCAAGTTGTGTTTGGACTTGCAGGAAAGATAAACGTATCCTAATTTAATAAATGGATAAAACAAACCCATTTAATTTCTGTAGATCAAAAGCAGAATACAAGGATGTCTTACCCAGACACTGAGAGGAGGCTTTGGGCTTGATAGATACTGAATTTAGACAATCTGAGTGAAGCAATAGACAACAAAAGTATTCTTTGATCTGAAAAGCTGGTGATTAAGGTAATGGATACTTGGAATCAGTGTAAAGGAAGTCCTCAGCTGCCCCAAACAATCAAAATGGAGGATGGTAATTAACATGTAATCTTTTTCTGCTGGGAAGTCCATTCCAGAGAACTGCTGCGGCCAACAGAATGATGTGTCTGCAGCAGCAACACCGGAAGGACCCAGGTGAACTTTTGTTCTGTTGAAGAACTCTGAGCAGATCATTACTGCAAAAATAATTGTTTGTGGTTACGAGAACATCCACCATTACCTGTAACAAGACCTGACAGAAGACAAGCGCTAATAGCAAGAGTCTGTGAAGATATGAGTGTCCTGCCCAGAACCACAGGCTGCAGTGAGATTCCCTCCAAATCTCAAAGCAGCAGTCCTCACTAACAGCACAGCTTGCAATGGGCAATGGCCATGTACAGGCTCCTCCTAATTGCCCTCTGCCAATGTGCACGTCTCCATATCACAAGCCCTCAGATTTGGGGGAAAGGGTGAGAGCTTAGGCAGTTTACCAAGATTTCTTTTTCAAAGTCAGTTAAATGCAACATTTTAGAAAGGCAAAATTCTAGATTTTTCACAGTTTCATAACTTCTCTCCTGCAAAGCAGCTCGTACATGCTCTGAAATAGTCAGAATTGAGTCCTAAGTCCAGAACTGCTAACTGACTTTAGCTAAGTTGCTGTGCTTCTTTCAAAATCACTATTCTTCCCTATAAGAGGAGGTTAATGGTCATAATCATCTTCCTTCTGAGAAATGAGATAATATAGAAAGTTTCAATGCATGTTTGTTATTATTGTTACTTCTATTATTTCATTCTTATAAAAAATGGCCAATTAGATTTCATTTCTAACAGTTATCAGAGAATTTCTTTAGCTGGCTCCATGAAATGGAGCACAGGGCTCCTGACCAAAATACCCTGTCTCATAATAAGATGAAGTTATAGGGTAAAACACTACAGAATAATTCATCACGACATCCATGAAAGATTCCAAGCATTTCCAAGGACCTAAGAGGGCTACATGCTAAAAGTTGGAAAGCCTAAATTTTGATATGTATTCACATAAAAAACGAAAGGACAGCTTCTGAGTTTAAAAAAAAAAAAACAAAAAAACCTATTATCATTTGAGCACTGGAATTCAAAAGCACAAACATCTTGGTGACATCTACGCAACACAAATGTCACATGGACCACTGTTTCCCCTTCCTGTTTTGGATCCTCATTAATTATACTCCAGTGACTGAGCTCACCATGTCACTGAAATACAGTGAGGTTCCTATCAGTCAGACATTTCTTTTCATTATCTCCGTTCTTTATCGATAGCAAGCAAGAATTAATCCATGGGGAAAATTTGAGATTGGCACTCTAGAGAGTACAGATTAAGATAATTCATTAGTCTTCAAGCCTCTTGTAGTCAAGTTAGTGTCATGGAAAGGAAAGACTTTAGGTGCTGATACAGGGCTCACTGGTGTTCACATCTCAGGTTCACCACCCACGCTGATTAAGCATGGGTGAGGCCTTACCAATACAGGGGCTGGCTTTGGACATGGGGACGTCTCACTTGCCTTATCAGTAAAATGGGGTCAGTAATCACTAGTTTGGTATCTGTTAGACAATTAAAGTATACCCTCTGTGCTGAGTGACTAGCACATGTTAGGTCCATAATCCATGGGTGCTATGAAGAGTGAGCAAAGAAGTTATAAAATTAAATGAGAGGAAATAAACTCCCACTGTGCCATGTCTCTGTTCTCCATTTTGTCCTTGATTCCAATAACATCCTTAGATAATACCCTGCTGGCATGCACAGACCTTCTGCCTGATTGCAGCATACACAAGGTTTTATCTCTGTGCCACATCTGGAGATCAGAGATGGGCTAATTCATACTAGCTTCTGGCTTCACAAGGAGTTAACACCTGTCTGTTCAATCTTACATAAGGAACTGAAAGCCCCTGAAATGGCCTCATAGACTATGCAACTCCAACACACCCTCAAGGTCCCTGTGGACAGGGTGAAGAGGGTTTAAATCATCTGTATGTGTGGTGTGAGGTGCCATTTGTAGATATCATGATAAGGCCCAGTAGCCTTCTGGGTAGAATTCAAAAGAATGAGACTGGCTCTGCAGAAGTGAAAGAATAAAATCTAGATACATAAAGGTGCTCACTGTGCTGAATTCAGCTCATGTATTTATGAGTTTCGTAAAGAAGCACATATTTCTGACTCCAGATATCTATGACATCCACCATGCCCTGTATAAGGATACTGAGTTTCAAAGGCTCTTCGAGGAGATATATTACTGTTTCTAATTCAGACATTAAGGCTGGGCCGGGGATATAGCTCAGTGGCGTAAGCACTGGCCTGGCAAGCCTGAGGTCATGAGTTTGATTCCTGGTACCAAAACAAAAAGTCCTCAGACATTAAGTCTTCTATCCCCATTTCTAATCTAGAATTTAAAGTGTCAGTCTCCCTTTTCTTAAAAATAAGAAAAAGGACTCTAGATACAAGTACCTCTTTTTCCTGTAAAGTGCCTACTACCTTTAGAAGTTGTTATTAGCTTTCTAATGGGAATATATAAATTTTCTCCTAAGATTTCCTCTCTCCCTAGGAGAATAAGCAATGCTCAGTGTGTTTTGTTCTTATGCCTGCCAAATGTCCCCCTCCCTGTTTACCCCTTTCCGTCAGTACTCTGGCTCTAACTTTGTCTAATTCACCCGCTTTATCAAAGATAAACTTCAAGATGTGTCATGTGAAGAATCAAAGAAAAAAAAAAAAAGCTCCTATATCCATTAGCAGAATTCCAATAAGGACATGTTCTTGGCAGGGGGTGGACAGTCTCTCATTTCAAGGAACATATAAATTATCCTCTTTTTTTGTATGGCCTTGCTGATTTCAGTGGAAAACTCCCAGTGAGAGCTGGCAGCACACGGCTGGTGTGGTCCCTTCTTCAAAGATACTTGCTCTGTCTTTTCCTTTTGCCTTCAGATTAATTCTGTACCTGGATTTATTCTCTATCCACCCACTCACCGTGTAGAACCAATATATATTTACTGTAAGGAACCCACAGTTGAAAACAAAACAGTGTTGCCTCGGTTCATGAATGTAATTCTTTCCAAGATTCTGGTTGCAAACCAAATTACATGAGAACTGAATCAAACTTCCCCATAAGGTCAACACAGAACATAACAATTGAATTTGATTTGGTTCTTATCCACTTCAGTTTGCAACCAGAGTTGTGGAAAGAATTAAGTTCAGGAACCGAGGTACCCCTGTATCATGCTCTACTTACTTTTGTCTTTTTTCTAGTAGTACACTTAGAGTGCACTGTGCACTAGATACTTTTGAACTCTCTTTTGAATGGATGAAAAGCTAAGTCATCAGTCTCTGTTCTGAAAGTTTTCCTCTTAACAGGAGAAAGGTAGTCACCACTGTTCTTTTAAAAACCAAGCTATAGATCTCATCAGTCAGGCTGATGGACTGACCATGTATCTTCTAGCAGACTGCCACTGAGCTCACAATCTCTGAGACACTAAGTATAAATATGAAAATATGCATAACATAAAACCTGTCCACATGAAATGGATAGCAGGACTCAATCCAAAAGGGGAAACATTTGTATCAGGCCTCTTTGAGAAGTATTAAATAAGCTGCACTGCATTTTTCTGGGCATCTCTTGCTGAGCTCTGTTCAGGTTGCAGGACCGCGACTTGGTTAAGGAGAAGTTATTTTTCCCCTGTCTCTATCAATCATATATAACCTCTGGGAAGCATTTGGTGATCCTGTTTTCAATCATCATACAGCTTACTTACCTACTGTTTGAGCAAACAATCAGTGATTGGCAATGCAACTGAAACAGACATTATTTTAAAGGAAACTTTTATCTACTCCAGACAAATATGATAGGTGTGTATTTCTCTCCTCCTCCCTCCATTTTTGGTAAGTATCATGTACCATTCTCCAAGCAATTAAGGAAAAATCACAACTCATAGGAGACTATAGTTTATACTCAATAGCATGGTAATTACAATTGTGTCTAGCAGACTAATGGGACTTGATTAACTAAAGCAAACAAGTAAGAATCATCCAGGACTTCAGCTCCTGCTACACCCAGATGTATCACACCAGTGCGAAGAGGCCCTTCTGATCACACATGTTCACACACAATTCCTCTCAGTTGGAATTGTGTTTGAAGCAACTTTCAGAGACTACATGTCACTGCAGCTTGTGGGCTATGATAGGTCACAGCTCAGGGAGACCCCAAATTTCAAACCTTATCACCTTTCTGGAACTTTTCATTTCTTCTGGGCTTTAAAATATCTGCTGCTGGAGTCCCACACAACTAGACATGCACATTTTTACTCCAGCATAAGTGTAGGAGACACAGTTGTGTGTTCCATGTTGAGTATACATCAGCCAGTTCATTGACACAGAGACGCAGTAATAAAGGTTGCTCCCAGTTGGTCAGATTCAGTGACCACTGATGTGGTCCATCTCATTAATTTTAGAAATGGAATTTTAAGGTGTATTTTACACATATGAATAATATTAGCCACATGGAATGGGAAAGAGAGAGCTAATCTAGGAATGATAACACTGGATATCTGGTTCTGGGAGCAAGCCATGTCACTTTTTGGTACATTTCAGGACAAGTCATGCCTACATCACAGCATGCCTTCACCACAAGATAAAAGGACTCGGAGGCCAAAAGCCAACAGCAGAGGTGCAACCACTGTGGACCTTTGCAGATGCAAAGAGCTGCAGTAACTTCTTGCAGTTGGATCATAGCAATAATACCAAACTGACAGGAAGCCACCTCTATTTATACACATCTACTTAGAAAACCACAGAGGATCAGGTGTTGGAAGGAGTTACAGACAAATACACACACATACACACAAACACACACACAATTACAAACACGTGACAATGATCACAACCACTTAAAAATATGAACAAGTAGGCACCTCAGTAGTATATTTTCAACGGTACTGTTTTAGAGAACACATTACTGAAAGACTATGTTGGAAATTTTAAGAGGTTTTTGTTTCCTTAAAAAAATGTCATTGATGATGATTTCGTCATGCTTCATGCAACATAAAACAGCAGCAAAACAGAGTGAAGTCACATGGCAAAAGTTGAGATATTTTGAATTAAGAAATATGTCCAAACTCAGGAGCGGGGAGAAACCATGAGTTCGTCCCAATAAACAGTATTCATTCAGGGAACCAAGAGCAATAATCTAGCAATTTAGTAACAGTGGTCTAAGTCTTTATTGAGCACTGCCCAAAACTTTAAATATTCAGAATGAGGTAACCGAAATAAATATAAGGAAAAACAGAACTATGAGGGCTTGGTCTCTGTTTTGTGGATATAAAGGACAGAAACTCTGCTCTACAAAGTGGAAACTGGACACAGGGAGGAGGAGGTCACTGGGAATGTGGATGTGGGATGCAGACAAAATGGCACTCGCGCCTGGTGGACACCGAGACACATCAGGACGACACATAAACAGACATGAAGGGCTAGAGAGAAGTGTCCTCCTTTTCAGCTTTAACAGTATTTGTTCCCACCATTGGTGCTAAGAGTGAAAACAGGATCATGCCTTTCCTTTTTCTAGGTTTCCTGCAAAGAAGTTAGTGCGTCATCCAAAAGAACCAACAAATCAAACAGGACAGCAATAGGATAAATGCAATTTTATGTAGTCTAGTTGGAGAGGGGATATATCTACATATATATATATATAGATAGATATATTAGACAAGGGAATGAGATTATATACACATATAATCTCTCTCTTCTTGAATTCTTGGCAAATGGTTAGTCCTGTGGTTAGGAGTGAAGACAGAGGGTAGAGTTGGAAAGGTAGTTAACGAAGAGTGCATACCGCTTTCGGCTTCTGCAAAACGACAAGAAAAGAATTTAAAATCAAACAATTTGATAATAGATTGACTGACACCAGAAGGAAAGAAGGAATAAAACCTTTGTTTCAAATCATTTAAAGGATGCATGTGAAAACAAGGTTTTTCGGCAAAGCATGAAAACATTATCATGAGGTGAAACCAACAACAAAGGGCGCAGGTAGTTAAACGCAGGTTGAAGGCAGCAGGGTAGGGAAGGAGAAGCAGGCGCCTCTGAAATTTAACACCTGGTCAGTTATAAAATGTGAGTGGAAAAGCAATGGGAACTTCACAAGTGCAGAAAAAATTAAAATGGTTTTCTCGGAAAAGATCAAAAAGTTATTTATTTTTAACACACATTGTGTCTTCCAAATCCTGTGTTTTCTCAGGGGCATGATCCACATTCCCTCAAACACACCTTTTTCCTCAAGAACCAATGTGCTTCCACACTGAGACCAAGCCACATTTGAGGGTTAAAGCTGGCAACAGCACACAGAAAGCCAAAAGAAAGCCAAATTCTTTCACCCCTCTTCTAAAAAAGAGTAATCTGACATCTAATCTACAAATATGGCTTTGTTGAAAATATCTCAGGTTTGTAAGAGTACTGAGTTCGTTTTCTTAGATGGTGACAGTGGACCCATGCTGAACCATTCACTGCTTTCCTATCTCTTTCTCTGTGATCGAAGTTCAACACTTAGAGTTGGTGGCAAACGGGAGGCCAATGGTCACGGTTCTCGGTGCAGATACTTGCCATAAAATTATTCCACAATTGGTCCACCTATTATTTAGCGTTAGCATCACCTACATCATGAAGCAAACTCTTTTGAGAGATGCACAAAAGTGATAGAGAACACAAGTTACACAAAGATTTACTGATTTGGCAATACAAAGAATATCATTTGCAAAAACGTAGGTTACAAAATCCCCCACTCAGCAACAGGTGAAGAACGGTCAAAAAGGTAAAGGAACCGAATCCTAGAAAAGTTCCCCCTTATCTGTGGAACAGCAAAGAGCCAGGATTCTCTCAGCTTTTTGCAAACAATATTCTTCACTTTGTCAACATGGAAAGAAAAATGTATATTTATATACATATTTGTTAACTGTTGCAGCCATGTTCAACACGCGGCCGCCAAATCTACCATTGCATCTTCCTCTTGGTTGATTTGGATCTTCAAAGTAGCTTAGCATTGGATCAGATTGACTTTGTGTGCAATCTGATCTGGTGGGCAAGGTAAGAGAAAACATTGGATTGATGTGCACACAATCCAGCGTTTTGGGTTGCTTGGTTGGTTGGTTGGTTGGTTGGTTGGTTTTGTTGTCATAGACACAGATTGCACATTTGGAGTCTGTCTTTATTGGGTCATTCACACAGATAATGCAAACTCCTTAAATGATGAGAGTAGGAGACTTCTAGCCTGGCCATGCACTCTGCTCAGCTGTAGAGGTATGTGTGGTCATTGTCTGTACCCTAGGATTATTGATCTGCAGGATCAAATGATATTCTAGGGGAAGAATAGACTGCATGTATCATTTCCAAAAACAAAACCTGAAGCATCTCTCAACTAGTTCTCTCTCTTCCAAGCTATTGTTAAAAGCTGGGGAGTGAAGATTCATCTCTATTTTCTCTATAACACACACATTTCTCCATCAAAAGAAAATTCCTTGTTAATGTGATGCTGCCCCCCCTCCAGCGCTGAACCTTTATATTGACTGGGCTGTTATCTATTTCAGCAGATCCTGTCCCTCATCAGTCTGCTTTGCACATAATTAAGTGAAAATAAATAAATAAAGAGGGTTCCTGCCTGTGAGCTTGGCTCTCCTGGCTAATTTACATGAATCCAAGATTCTACCACCTGGATTTCGGCAATACCGGGAGAAGCACATATGGTGTACGATAGGCTGCTTATAATTTGGCTATGAAGAGAGCTAGTGTCTCTCATCCTGGCTCGACATCAGGCCTGCTGCAAAGGAGGCCAGAGTCCACCTGCTTTTTGCTCGCAGCAGTACAAAGGGGTTGAAAGACAGGGTCTGTCCCAGGTTCAACACTTAGAGGATGAAAGGCTCAGGTTGACATGATTGGGTGGAGGTACTTCAGTGGCTGATTCCTCTCCTCTGGGGAAATCCTCTGTGAATGCCCAGTGGGGCTCAAGATGCCAGGCTGCTCTGGGACAGAGGCTGGTTGAGCATGCCTTAAAATGTACCCTAGGATCAGAGAGATATTGTACCCAGCTCCAAGCAAAGAAATCATGTGCAAAACAGGGGACATGGACTGGATATTTCCACAATGTACTTTCACATCATAAATGTCAACAGGCTACTGAGTCACAGCAAACTTACTTACCGGCTCTCTCGGTTGGCGGACTTGTACTCAATGGCTATCATTAGGAGCTTGAGCTTCACAAAACACAGCCTGCAAATGAGATGGAAAGAAGCCTCCCAGTCAGTGTTTCTGGTTGAGCAGTCACATAAGGAGCACTGTTATGACCTTTCGGTCTCGTAGCACTCATTATCCAAGGGAATCTTTATTCCACCAACCCAGTGCCAAGGGGTGCCAGGGGGCACCTCCCAGTCTTCCCCATTAAATCTGTTTTCTCCCAAGTGATAAGGAGCTGGATGTTCAGAGTGTAAATTGCACTCAGGCCTGGATGTCTAGACACAGACCCCAACCAGGGATTTGTGCCTAGGGATTTACACCGGGCCAGATTCATTAGTTACGCGGTCAGGTAGTAAAATGTTAACTGCAGGGGGAGGGGGAGACTGGGAGCAGCTGGACCTGTTATTTGGATTCTATTTTGGTCTTTTGTACAAATGGCTCATATTGTTGTTCCGAGCAGACCTCTGTGTGCTTGGAATGGTGGTAATAATACTTAGCCTCTGTGTAAGTGCCCAGCACATGACTATGTCTTTGTCACTCCTGGCTCCATCCAAGCTGTCTCACCTCATCTGCCCAGTGCTCTCCACTGCGGGCCAGACTGTTTGGAGGCTGGCTTGCTCCTGCCTCCCTGCCTTCATTAGTGCCCAGCCCTTAGCAATCCATGCCTTCTCCTCTCCTTCTGGCCATCCTCCCTGGCCATGTCACACCTTCCAAGTGGTAGGTCTGCTCCGGTTCATGCTACCCCCTGGTTTTTATTCTCACAATTCCTCTAGGACTGGCCTGGAGCTACATCATCTAGCACTTAGCCAACTTTACCTTGGCTATGGTTGTTTCCTATTGTTTCTTATTTCCTGTGTCTGCACTTTCCCCTCTTCAACCAGAACAACTTCTTTAAGAGTCCTGGACTTGTTTGAATTCCCAGAGTACATAGCGAATGGGTCCATCCATACACAGAAGCTCAATTAACAAAAGACTTCCACTTACTGGGTTTCAATTCCAAGAAAACAATAAGTACAGTAAAATACTTATACATAAAGATGTTCAAGGTAGTGTTATTTATAAAGAGTAGAAAAATCTAAAGCAACCTAAGTAATGTGGTAATATGGTAATAAAGCAATGGAAATGTGGTATTAGGCAGTGTTCAAAATGACTTTTTGCAGAATATTTCAAGATATGAATAACAAATACTATATAACAACATACAAACATGTAAATGACATGGTATAATTCATTGAAAATGTATATTTATATACTGTTAGAAATAAAAGCTCACATAAAAATGAATCATGTACATCATATATTATAAGTTTCTGCAGTAGACATATTTATTTATATCTTAAAGACTGGATAATGAAACATTGCTTAATGGACAAGCTAAAAAATGCACTTGTGGTTATTTAGTTCCAGCTGAAAGGGGGATAATGTAGTATATCAAAGGGCAATGTCTCCCTTGATACCCCCACTTATTCATTAAGATATTCCAGAGGGAGAGACAGACAGACAGACAGACAGACAGACACAGAGAGACACAGATGGAGAGAGAGACAGAAAGAGAGAGCCCTGGTTGTTAAGATTTCTCTTAGGCGCTCTATTGCACAAGTAATAAAACTAAGGCTCAGAAAATGCAAATAATTTGCCCAGTAGTTAGATATTAGGTCTGTAGCCAGTGCCTGGCAGGATATATCACATCTTCATCTCCAACAAAAGCTGTTTTGCATTGGAAGAGATCGGCAATCTGCAAATATACTGAGTGAATAACACATTTCCAAATAATGACAAATGTTATGATGAAAATAAGAGAGCTAGAGATGATAAAGTACAACAGGAAAAGGAATGTGTCACTTATGAATGTCCAGGAGGACCATTCGAAGGATGCAAAGGGTCCAGGAGCATGATGGGCAGGCAGTGAGAAGATACAGGGAAAGAGCCTAGGACAGTAGAGGTGAACCCATGGCACATGGGTCCCCAGGAGGCTGTCTGTATCGCTGAAAGCTCTAAAAGGTTTGCCATCACTGGTCGAAGGAGTAGAACCACTAAATGCAAAGGCTCTGAGGCAGGAAAGGGCTCCAAGTATTTGAAAAAGAGCAATAAAACCAGCAAGGGTAGAGCTGAGAGAGCAACACTGAGAGTGATAGTGGGTAGGTCCAAGAGCAAGGTGGGGGGCAAGATCATGAGGACTTTGCTGGCCGTAGCAAGGACTCTGCGGCTTATTCCAAGTGAGTGAGAGCCCTTTATGTGGTTCCAAATGGAGAAACCACAGGACCAGAGAGGCTATACTTGGAGATATGTTGCCAGCAAAGAAGGCACTGGTGAAGGCCTGGTGCTTTCCAGGCGGAAATGAGACCAATTGCTCATTCCTATGTGTGAGGTCCTAGTTCCCAGGCTCTGCCTTTAACAGACAGTCAGATTTCAAAGGACCACATTCACACAAGCATGTCTCTGCTTTCCCGGAGATTTGCAGGTTTTCTGCCTTCTGCCAGCAGACTCTAGGGAGCGGGCCTTTGTGCCGATAATATAGCTTGTTGAAATACCAACACATATATTCAACCACAGTAAGAAAATGCCATTCTTAATTTATGTCTCATAGGATTCCACTAACACACACCCTGTATGGGGCTGTTACTTCTAGAACTTCAATCGTTTAAAACATCAGAGAGCTTATGCCATGTTTAATGAACCAAATTACCAGATTAAGTAGCCACTACCTAATGTAAATAGTAGTTAAGTGCCAAAAAAGTCAAGGATAAAGCTGATCTTATCTTAGCATGGATCACGCAAAGGTCAATTTGCTGATATCCTGAGTAATGACCATTCCATGGGACGCTGATAATTCATGAGATCAAAGATCTTAATTGTTTTCTTAATCCTACTGGTACAAAAGGGGAAAGCAGTTCACAGTAATGGCAAATTATTTCTTCCAAGTTTACTACAATGCCATTTCCCCACTGGATATAAAAAGAAAGGAGCCTCCTAATGCAGAAAAGTCAATAAAATCTATGCAGTCTTGTATATATTTCTTAACTTTATAAAGGATGACCGGCAGGCCAATCTCCTCATCTTCTACCAAGTTTTAAATCCATAATGTTCTAACTCTAAAATCCATACCTAAGAGGATTCTACACTGACTTTTAGAAGCCTTTTAAAAGAAGCCTTTTAATACAAGACAAGCTGTTGCTCACTGGCTGAAGGAAAGACAGGAAAAAAGGCCAGTGATGTAATAGTGAATATATGCAGGGCCACACTACAGATTTCCAAGCTCTGGTCCTTCAAATTGACTGGTCCTGCCCTTCTTATATGTAAGACAAGCTGAAGTCCAGAGAAGGCAAAGCAACTGGCTCAAGATCAAATGTGTTTTACAAAAAGCCATAAGAGGCTATCAAGTCCCAGTGTAATATATCCTACAGGTATGTCTCACAAGAACAGAAAAAATGCAGCGGTGGTCCCAAGCTCACATGAAAGCACGTTTTGTTTTATTGGCACAGTTGCTTTTTAACAACTAGAAATAGATACTAACGGTTGGTTTCATAAAAAACAAAACAAAACTAGTTCTTTTGCTTTTCTTGAAAAATTAGATATGGCCACATTGGAAACATAGCCAATGTGGCTAAAAGAAACTGGATCTATGATGCACTCACTTACACCTTAGAGAGAGCAAGTATTCTCCAAGGTGCACAGTCCCCACCAGGTGCCATATTTTTCTCTGACTTTTCACTCTTCACTCTTTGTTACTAACTGCCTGCAACCCACCGGCTTCTAAGTTTTTAATCTCTGCTCCAATAGGTGTCCTCTGTAACTGGCAAAATACAGGGAATGATAAATCAGGATTTAGAGTGGAAACAGAACTATAACTCCCCTGGGAGTGTTCATATCACACTTTTTGTGCTAGATCTTGCATAAGGCAGCAGCAGAGATGAAGCCTCTGGTAGAGGGGTCCAGTGGGGGACAGCAGATTGAGGTTGGTGTGGTCGTTATCAGTTTACTTTTCTCTCTTTCCTCTGGACTGAGGTTCTCTAGTATAGGATGGAGGCTTTGCCCTGACCCTTGGCATTTGGTAAAGTGCAGAGAGCATGTTTTCTTGCATTGTCAATGAAGGCTAAATAAGCAAATGCATGGATGAAAGGGCAGTGGATCCTTATGAGTTGATGGAATAAGAGAGAAAAGGCAAAGTCAAAAACTAAGAACCTCTACAGGGAGTATAGGAAGCAGGGACAGGATCTTGATATAAGAAGCTTCTTAACTTATCCTGTTTGCTATAAGCAGACATATTGGAAAAGAAGGACATGGAAGGAAATAACAGTTGTTTCATGTTCTGGGAATCTAATTTTTACTTAAATCCATTGTGCCAAGATGCAAAGCCAGTTCTAAGAGACAGACAGAAATTAATCCTTGAGATCATCTGGAGATCCTGCCACATGGCTACATGCCTAAGAATATGCCCTCAGACTACCCAGAATTGCTGTCCTGTGGTTAAATATTTACTTGTATCATTCAACACCTTTTGAAGGGCAAAGCAGAAAAGGCATTAACCATCAAATTTTTATAATTACCTTTGTGGCTTTACTCTGTCTATGGTGTTTCAATGTATACAGTGCCAATACGGGATCAGGAAACAGGATTAGTATAAAGTAAAGTATAAGGAAAAGGCAAGAAGCCCTTCACAATGTGATAAATAGGACAAAATGTGCCATAAGTTAGCAAGAATTTCATTCTGGGCTCCTAAAATAAAATGTCCCAATATGTCCAATGCAGGAAGTTGTCACTGGCTGCAAAAATAATTACAGAGGAATAGAAATGACTTATTTTTTCCAAGAAAAATGCCACTTGTCACAAAAAGGTCTTAAACCAGCAATCTGCAATGAAACTGTTGTAATAACAAGTTAGATTGCTTTCCAGATAATTATTAAGTAGAGGTCTACCAAATCTGACAATGACATTATACAAAGCCCCCCTCTTTTTTTACTGCCTGCATCATCTGTTAACTATAGTAGTTTCAACCCAGATGTTCCTGAACAAAGGCTCTTAAGAATTAGAGTCCAACTGTTTCCACCTACCCAGAGGGAAATAAATTGTTCTTGCCATTAAATCAGCCCCCTTGACTGCAAAGATTACTTGCTGGTGTGAATTTAAACATGAAACCTGCCACAGAGCTTGCACTTCCTAATGTGCCCAGGAAGAGTCTAGAGAGATGGCATTTGGAGCGCCGAAGATGACTCACTCCCCAAGGCAGGTGGATGAGGACAGAAGCAGCAGTTCCCATCATGCCCCCTAACCCCAGCTCCTCCCCCAAGCGCCAGTTCCTCTCCAGCTACCCAGAGACCCTTGGGAATGTCAGGCCTACACATGTGATCAGAAGAGATGTGCTGTAAGGTCTGCAGCTCGGTCCTTAGAGTCAGGGAACTCCAGTGGAAAATATTTGCATTCAGGGGTTTTGATTGGATATGACAGCTTCCTGAGACAAAAACATCAAGTTAAAGAAATTGTTTGGAAATCATCAGGATTTGTAAGACCTACATCAGGAAAATAATATCACTTAAAATGCTTATGGAGGGGTTGTTAAACTCCATTCTTTCATACCCCTGGTAAAGGTTTAGTGGAAAAGTTTTAGACTACCTTTACTCTCAAACACATACATGCACACACATACACACACACACACACACACACACACACACACACTGACCCCTATGCTTAATATCTCCTCCAGTACACCTAAGAAGCTTAAAGTAAAAAATAACTGCTTTCTTCATTCTGGATAATTAGCATTTGCCTAAAGTGTAGAGAAATCCATTTTTGATATTATTATTAATCAGATACACGTAATGTAAGAAATCCCTGCTCTGTGCAACCTAGCATCCACCTCAGCTCCAACTGAACTCCCTCCTGGCCCTTCTGTAAAGCATTCTGGACCTGCCACTGAGCATTGCAGTAGGTTTTATGATCATTGGTTTATTCACTGGCACATAGAAGGATTACTGGCCACTTTCTTGTTGCCTAGAGCAGAAATAATCATTAATATTATACTTATATCTAGGTTCGTACAGGTTCAGTCCTAATTATAAAACTCCCTAAATAAATGGATGGATAGGTCCGTTATGTTAGAGAAAAATATTTTTTAAAAGACCATATTTGCGCCTCCATACAAATTTTCTTAAAATGCTAATGTTTTGCTGCCAGGCCAAAGAAATCTATCGCATAACATTTGGGTTTGCCTCACTTATTTTGGCTCCATGTTCAAGTCTGGATGTCTTTCTTTAAAAAGTAACAATTTTACAAAACTCAGCTAAATTAGTTATAATACTTTTCATTGGGAAGAGGCTCAGCTTTCACTGGGTACTCTTTTAAAAAGCTTCCTCCTACTGCTTTTTTGGAAAGATCAGTCCAGGCAAAAAGAATGAGGACGTGATTTTCTGAATTCTATGGGCACTGATTGCAGGGATGTAGGTGGAAGGTGGAGACACCCCTACTCCCCTTGAACTGTCTGCAGCCAGCAGAGTAGCAGCCACACCAGGCTCGGGGACAGAACTCCTGCCCTTCAGCACAGCCGAGGAGGATCCAATTGGAGTTCCCCAAGTAACCTGGGCATTAAATACTCTACATCGAATCTGAATTTTAACTGCTCCATCAGCTGCAGAGGGACAGGGAGACACATCGTATTTTAAATACATCTTTTGTCCTAATCCCCTCGGAGCTGTAAAACCTGATACAATTAAGCTTTTATATTTTGCAAGTGATGAATGACTGACTAATAGCCTCACTGTGAGACTCAGAACCCGGAACATGATGTTCTTGCCACAGCCCAGCTGCTGAAGTCCTGGCTTCCCCCACCTCCTCCTCCCTCCTCCCTCCTCTACCCTCAGGCTCCTACCTGGGGCAAGGATGTGTATCCTCCTCTCTTGCCAATTCTCAAGATAAAAACACTATCACTATTTCCCCCCAAAGCATTACAGCTCAAAACATCAGATATGTCTCTTTCTCCCATGTAAATGGGAGAAGGAGGTGAAACCAATTTGCTCTAGCTGGAAAGCCCCATAGAGACCTGGGTGTTTGGAGAGCTCTGTGTGACTATGCGGCCCAGCCTTCCATCCCAGTTCCAACCCACTTCCTTCTTTTCTGCCCCTCTGAATCTGAGCTCCTTCCCAAGCACAGATCAAATGGCATCTCTTCTGGGAAGCCTCCCCTGGTGATCCCCAGCCCAAAGAAGCTTTCCTTCTAGCACTCAGCATCATTACTCCAGCTAGGTGCACCCACCAAGCATCTAAGGGGCACCATGTCTCCCTGAGCGTGGGTATTCTTCCTCTTGACCACAATACAAACTGTGAAGGTAGCCCACTGCAGGAAACTGAATCCTTTCCCTGGCATTTATGAGTACTGTTATGCATCTTTCCACGTGCACACATTTGATCAAAATCTAACTGCAGTTCCCTCTAGAAGTGGCACCAAGCTTGGCACGATAGTGATCGTGCATATATGGCAAGTTCATTAAATGTCTGGTCCATCAACTGGTGACAGGAGAATTTACTAAAGGGTACATGTGATGTGGAAAATGACACAGTATATTTCTTTCCAGGCATTTATATTCAGTGAGTAGGGCAATGTGATGGAAGAAAATGGAGATGGGAAAGGGATGTGATTAACCAGTACACAGTGGTAAGTAGTGCTATCCTTACCCCTGCAGAGTAGAGGAAACTAGAGGTATGCACCAAGCCCAAAGTCAGGCAGCTGGTGCTATCAAGGCAGAGAGTTACACATAAATTAAGTGTCTCTCCCCCAAGCACACACCCAGCGCATGTTTGATCTGGAGGTTTGTGACTCCACAGTCCATACTTATGCATCGCACAACACCCTAATGTGGCTACTGCTCAAACACCAGATCTTTTAGGGGCAAATGGGGCATACCAGTCCTGCTCATCGTACAGGCTTGGTGCTGGGAATCCGTACTTTCACTGTCACCTGCTGAGGAAGGTGGGGAGCAGAAAGGATAGGAGAGTAGATGGTTTGTTAGGGGAAACCACAGTGGATGGCACTCTTTCCTTCAGGTCCCAAAGCTTCATTTCCTTGATGTTACTGCCATACCTAGGGACAGGTCAGCTTTGTAAACCAAAGGAGTACTCAGGAGATACTGGTCTTCAAAAAGAATATCCTAGAGGCAGCTTAGGAAAAGCATGGGTCATGCCCACCATGGTCTCCAGGGCCATGTGATGACTTTGGGGGCTGCACCCTCAGCTGCCTTTGCCCCCCCCCCCGGACTTATCTGGATTTAGCACTTATTTGTTTTTCCCAACCAGAAACTTCTTTGCTTATCCTTAATGGAGACCCGAGTGCAGGCACTAAAGGACTCAGCACCCCAACTTTTTTTCTTGCACTGATCTGGATTAAGCATGGATGTTGGGAAAGCAGTCAGGGGCGTGCCTGGCACGGCACAGTTCAGACTCATTCCTCCGACCCTTGAGATTGCAGAATACCCAACTTGAAGGGGGAAGGATGGGAAGGAAGCTCCCATAAAGTCTGCAATCTTCGTATGTGCTTGTAAGCTGTGGCCCACCTATGATTCTGTGATTCCAGTAACTGAGCTCAAAGCGGGAAACAAGAAGAGGTTGTTTCAGAGTCAGGGGTGGGACACTGAGGTAAGATAGGACTTTCCAGTCCTCAGAGTTTGAGTCTCCTGGCCTGGAAGGGAAGAAAGAGAGAAAGAAAGAAAGAGACAGAGAGAGAGACAGAGAGACAGAGACAGAGAGAGACAGAGAAAGAGAGAGAGAGAGAGAGAGAGAGAGAGAGAGAGAGAGAGAGAGAGA